CTACGTATGGGATGTAACAAAAATTAAACATTGAATAGGAAAAGTTTTGGGACAGGTCACTATGATTCCTTTGCGACAGGAACATTTCTAAAACACAAAGGAATTACCTATCCATAAAAATCAATAAAATACTAAAGGATATGCAATATGAATTGCATAACAACGGATAAATAAATGACAAATTATTAAAGATACACACCGAATGAAGACCACTGTGATTAATACTCCAAAGGAAAAATTGAGCGACATACTGGCTAGCAAAATTCATTTTCTTGAAGCACAGGTAAATACAGGACAGACTTTTGAACACCGCAAGGATTCAGGATTCAAAATTTTGGATTAGCAGAGACAAAACTGTTGGCAAGTTGTTATGTACAATCTGTGATAAAGACATTTTAGGCGAGGAGGCGGTAAGCAATCTATTTGAGATATTGAAACAAGAAAATGTTATCCTGGTAGCAGAACGGATAAGGAAGGAGTCGTTAACAAGTATGATTGAACTAACAATAAGGACGACATATATTATATTTAACTCAGTTTCTATGAGAAAATATTTGGACTAAATGTGAAGGCTCTACTCTCACCTATTTCAGCAAGCTTATGCCTGGACAAATTGTAAAGGGAAATAGATAAGTCGACTGTACAGTATAGAGGACTTATGCGATACCCAGATGATTATTTTGCACTTTGGTAGTATTTAAATGATAATATAGATTAATTTCTCAACTTTGCTAACCAATTTGATGAAAAAATCAAAGTCATAATGGAGTTGGAGTGGAATAAGAGGTAATCTTTCCTAGATGACGAGGTCATGCGCTCCAACAAAAAAGGAGAGTATTCAGAAACAGTCACATGCTAGATTAATCCTCGATTTCCATTCTCATCACAACCAAGAATCGAATATCAGAATACTGAAGGTTTTGATCAACATAATCTTATGATTAACAGACACTGAATTCTGAAACGAAGAGTTGAACAAACCAACATAGTTTTTCCTTTGTAATACGTACTCCAGAAAATTAAAAAAACTAATATAAGGGCCATAAGGGGCATATATAAACTCGGATATTATGAAGAAAAAATCAGGAATTGACAGGAGAACCAAAAGTGGCTATGCATGACCTCCTATGAGCTGAGTCAAGAATTCCGACCGTTACTTGAACAATGGAATATGCATATGAATACAAATGCCAAGGCATCATTCTTCTCCAGACTGCAATACGAGACTGTATCGCATGAAATGTGCCAACTGATATCAGAAATATATTGGTGAAGCAGCAAGAAAAATCAGCTTAGGAATCAAAGAATATCAAATACTTTGCAGAAAATGGGTACTGAAAGATACGAAATAGCAAAACGATGCACTTAAGAGACATGAAATTGACTGGAAATCGACAGAAAGCTGCCTGAACATTGTAAAAATACAAGACAACGCAGGATACAATAGATTATCTAAATCCTGATTTAAAGAAAGCAAATGAACAGTATACTTGAGCAGACAGGATTAGCGAAAAAACTGCTTTATGCCTAAGCAAGCTCGGAGGAGATCAGGCAACAGCAATATCAGCAAACGAATACGACTAGATGAGTGTACAACTTCGAGGATGAGGAAGATAGCAAGGATGCAACAGAGGAACAATCAGAAATCGAGAGGAAAAGACAAAAGTATTCCGACCGTCACCATCACAGGCTGAGGGCCACGGAACTAGGAAGAAGGGTGAGTACAACCATCAGAGAAATTTGGCATTATGACCAAAATGTATTAAAATCTACTCGAGTTGCAGCAGACGACTACAGCTAGGCGTAAGCAGTTTTCTCAGGTAACATTGGTTTAATGAAAGAGACGAAATGGGAAGTAAATGCATAATATCTGCATGGAAATCAGAGCCTAGATTACCTATTCGTTAAAGTAGTAGTGTACGTTTTTCTAAAAGCTTGATAAATTAAGACGCTGGAGTACAAGGCACGCTTAAACAGGAACCGTGCTATATCACTCAACCAGAATGCTAAGAAATGGATCTACGCAACCATGAGGGTGATCCAGATATGAGATCCGAGTCGCTAGAAGATAAGGGGAAAGGTAAACAGCAGGTGTGATGAGGCCACACTAAACTTGCTAAAAAATGGCAAAACTTTTGACGAATGGAACGTTAAACAAATCAAAAGTTTTTATAGGGGGACAATGTAATAAGATGTTAAGGAGTTCATAGATGGACCATGACAGAAAGAAGTGCGATAGCGCAACCGCTCAGGCAGAAAGTTTTATTAAGGGTTTGAATTCACTGATGATGCAAATTACGATGCCAGACAAATGTCTAATAATATACCAAGTCTACGGTGTGATGCTTGGAATTATGTTAAGGACTTCGGACAAGGTGAGTCCAACAAAGTCGAGCTGACAACATGATCAAGTTGCGAAAACGAGGTCAGCATATTTCTACACATCGAAAGAAGACTGCAGCCATACTGAGGGTCACACCATCTTGGTCATAATATCCGCAAAGGATTATATATTTTTAGTATACCCTGTAGTGTACACAAATAGGCGAAGCCAATAGCGATATTTACTTATTTTTTTATAATGTGATCTCGCTGTAATAACAAGTAAATCAAATTGTTCTATATTCTATAACGAAATAATTTAGTGTTAACAATTAAATAATAAAATTGATTCATAATAGATAAAAAATTTGACAGTTAGAATTATAAATTAATAATCTAGATTTGGCATAATGATTTACACATATATTTAAATACCATGTCATTCTGACTCCTTTACGGCATAAAATAAAATTTATTTTACAATTGCCAACACAATTCTTTATTAACTTAATCCTGTGCCGTGTAGCTTGCGTTTTTCAACTGTGTTAGAAAAGATTTAATGGCCCGCTACCGTGGCTGAAGAAAGCAGAGTCAATGTCGACGAAATTCGGCCGGGTTAGCTTAGTTAAATAAAGTCAATGCTCTTCAAAAATACAGTGGTAGAGGTTCTACTCTCAGTTAAATATTTTGATTGAAAATAGTAACATTTTTTACTTTATAGCGATAATCAAAAGTATATTAAGCATTTATATTCTGATTCCAGTAACAAAAATAGCTTTCCTTTGAAAAAAAATTAAAAGAGAGCCTATAATGGGAGCCTAGCATTATTACTTTAATAGAGAAGCAACTTCTGGTCTGAAAACCCTTTTAAGTTCTGCGGATATATAAAAGAGACTAATTAAATTTTAGAAGTGCTAAATAGCACTAGATCATATAAAAGTATTTATTTACTTTAATCCTGATTGCGATAATTTTTTTTACTTCTTATATTAGATAAAAAATTAAAATCTCTATTCATTCGTTTTAATCCTTGATATAAGCTCTCGGCATCTCAAATCCTCGTGGTCTCGATGTCGTTCTCGTCTCTCGGTCTCGACTTGTCCTTCTCTTCAGACATAACGTCTGCACATACATTCGCCTCTTCTTTAGGGTATTTAGAAATTTAGCGAATATTGTTTAATAGCTATTCGTTTATTGCAGTAGATCTCTTCCACCCCAAATCGTGGCCATCAAATCAACCGTCTCCGCATGAGTCTCTTACCTTTCCTGTTACCCGGGCGGATTCGGCTTATGAATACGCCGGTAAATCATTTTAATTTTGCTGATTGAATAGGTAAATCACTCTTGAAATCTATTGTTGGAAAAATCTCCCCATGGGTGGATGTTGATTCACCCTGCCCATCACATAGACATTTATCACAAAAAACACTTCGAAAAGAATTAGAATGGGCTGAACACCTTGGTTTACCTAGTATAGTAATCAACATGTATCGTCAAGATAATCCAAATTTAGCTCATATACTGAGTAATTTTCTCTTGACTGAATTTACTCCGCTTAGGGTAACCAACATATTAAACTCTATTCATAATATTTAGGTTTGGATTCGTATTCCAATGTTTATCAAGAAATCAGAGTCGGCCGAAGGTAAAATTCCTATTTCATTTGCACAGCATCCTACATTCATTTATATAATATCATTTGAAAATTTAATCGTTCGTCTTTGTTGATATTCTTCCAGCTAATTTATCTAACACTACTTCTCCTTGGCATTGGTGGTCCAAATTTTCGTCTCTGTGCGCAGACATCGTTCCCGAATTCCTTGCGTTGGCTCTCGAGCTTAACGAAGACTTTCCGGAAGACTTCACCGAAGACTTAAATCGTTGGCTTGCCGAACCAATATCATGCTTCCTTATTCCAACGCGTCTTTTTGTTACGAATTCTAAAGGATTTCCTGTCCTGATTCGCCCTCATCAACAGCTTATTAGCAGATTACTCAAGGTTAATGTTCGCCATGCTATTCCTAATTTTCATTAATCCTGGAGATGGGCTTATATTTTGCAGCGCTGATGTTATTTTAGATTTGCTAATGTTGTCATCAAGGTTTTTCAACCTTTGCCCTCGAGAACTTTTTAAACTGATTCCTTCAACTTTTTATTTTCTTTAATTTTACGTTCGTTGCCTTTTATATGCACCCAGTTTGGCTCATAATTGATCTTCTACATTGAAGTGGTCACATTTAGAATCTAAAATATATTTAATATTCAGCGACTTATAGTATTTCGTCCTTTGACTAAGCTCTGGCCATTTATGTTCCTTCGTTTTTTTGTTTGCTGTAAATGTGGCTGTTTGGGGGGTGATTTTCAGTGAATTGGCCATCGCCATTGCGTTTGTTAGTCCTACAGAGTATATTTATTATGCTTCGATTTCTCTAACAGCGTTTGAGGAAATTATAAGAATGGTTAATAATTGCATAATTTGCTATCTTGCATATTCAAAATCCTTGTTACTTTCTCAATGTTGACATTTTGACAAATGGTTTGGCCGCATCAATAATTTTTTATTGATTAATTATCATTGATTTTTATATGTGTATCCTGCGTCGTATGATTTACTATTAGGATGTTCATTGTACTAATCCTCTAGGAATTCGATTAAATGTTTTGCTACATACTATATCGTAGTACTGAGTAATACCCCGAATTACACTACTTAATGATATAAAATAAATTAATTTGATTTAATCGCTTTATATAATGATATCAGATCTTTCGTCACTGTCCTACATACCTCATTTAATTTTTAAAACGTTCTTATAATGGGAACCTATCATTAATGACCATGCAGCAGGAAATAAGGTTAAAATAATTTCCTTCTAAGTAGTTGCGCAAAATTTATTCGGTTTTTTGTTTTACTTGCCAAAATTTTGATATCTCGAGTTTTAATTTTGATCACTTCTCTCATATATTTTAGCTTAATGTGCAAATAATGATTACTGGTGCTTGCAGACACAACAGAGGATACGTAATTTATCAGCAATATATTGCTTGGTTGCTGAAGCATCAGACTGCCCCTGACACTTATGAATTGCATTCTCGAGGCATGGAGGACATTCCCCAGGTTCGTAATTAAAGAATCTCTCTTTCTTTTTTTTAAAACGGAGCAAGTTATGCTTTAGCCATAGTATTAAGCATTGTTATATATACGCTGTTTTAAGTGTAGAGGAATAAAGTAGGTCGAAATTTTCATTAAAATTAGTCCAACAAGATTGATATATCTTGCGTAACTTGTTATAACTTTCCAGCTTTGATTACTTCTCTGTATCTTATATTTATCGTTCTCACGTTTTTTGGATATAAGAAGGTAAGTTTTTTAATTTTTCTCGAATCTGAAGCTTATTCTAGCTATGCATGCTATCTCTTGAAAATAGCTTATTCATCTAACAATGGGGTAAAGTTTATATGCTAATATCTTTGTAAGAGCCGTTCTCAACTTTAATATTCAGTTTTTATTCCAACTTACTTGCTTATAGAAGTTGTTTGACCTTGTTTTCGCAACTTGGTCATATTGGTAGGAAGACCTTGTCTCGAGTTCATTGTATGCATAATCATTTCAAAAGTCGGACTGTGGACGTGGTTCATCTCCAGACGTTTCGCCGGCAACGTCAGTGAAATATGACCCATTATCGACATCTAGCTGCTACAAGATTGCTTGCTCATGTGGTCGATGTTATGTTGGTGAGACATGCCTTCCTATTCGACAAAGATTGGCAGAACACAAAAATACTTGCTAAGGTAGCTGGA